TGACACCCCACAGCATAACTCCCGACCGTTAGACTGTGCAACCCGTACTACGAAGCGCAAATGTGAAAAACTTGGCTAAATGAATTCAGCACTTCCAGGATAATGGGAAGGTCTGTGCTTCCAGTACAACCTGAGATCTTAAGTGGAACCTTAGCATTTGCTTCCTTCTGGGGAGATTATAAAGCGCTCCTGGATGCTGACACACAAGCACACTTCTACTGTATCTGAACTGTGTTCATCTTAAATTTGTCATTCTTGCCGTCGGGCCCTACTATATCCTAGAGCAGAGCCATCATTACAGGCTCTTGCCGATCAATTACTATCTCAAACAGAGCAACCAAGAAACTACTGTACTTTAGGACATTTTTTTATATCCTGTAACTTTGATTCTTGCTTACATGTGGTATTGCACCAAAACTAGTGGGCGCTGTCTTTAATTACATTTCACAAGGCCCTTGTCTGGAAGAACAGCACATTCGCAGAGACAAAGCTGAAGCATACAAATATTTAAGAGACGATAGAGGCTGATTTTGTCAATTTCCAAGCTGTGGGTGGTAAAACTGCGTGTCCAGCTGCACTATTAAAACTTAAATAAAGACTCCGGAAGCTTCTGGGAATCACTGCGCATCCTGCGGAGGCAAGGAAGTTTCTAATGCACAGCAGGAGGAGAAGCAGCAGGGAACTCTGGCAACACTAAGACACCAAGCGAGGAATTACACATTTTTTAAAAAGGTGAATAGATAATGACATAGAAACAATCCATGTAATTTCTAAAGGAAATCATTTTATTATAACGTGACCAAGTTTTGTTCTAGAAGTTTGTAGCAGGACTCATTAAATCTCAATGATGAATGGTATCCTCTTCAATAGCATATATGCCTAAGGGTGAAGAAAGTGAAGCAGGTATGTTTTGATTTTTATGCTTGACATTCACTCAGGTAAGCAGGAAGTCTCAGAGAGAAATTGTGCTTTAAGGACATTAAGATTTTGAAAACAAAAACCATTCACTTTGGGAACCAAGGCATGCTCAAGGTAGTGGTGGGGGTTCAGCAGATGGCTCTGAGTGGATGGCCTGGGTTGAAATGCTGACCCTATCGCTCCCAGCTGTTCATCTTTTGGCAAGTTACCAAGCTTTTATGCCCCAATTTGCCCACCTATAAAGTGGGCAGAAAAACAGCAGCTTGTCAGCAATGCTGAAGGTGTCAGGGATACGATTACAGGCAGGGTCCCCACAGCAGTGCCTGGCAACGGAAAGCAGAGTTAATGCGCACCCTCAGCCCCGGATGCAGATATGACCCGTCACAAACAGCACCTGCATTAAATGAAAAACAATCTTTTTATTCTGCAGCTAGCATTTAAACAAGACTGTTAAACTGAACGGTTACCAGATGATGTCTTGCGATATTTGAACTACTTGACCATGGAGGCATATATACCTTCTTCAAACACCCAACTGATGAGGGTTCTTTAAACCAATGCTGTTTATTTAACAGAGAGAGCAGCGTTTTGGGGGCACTGGGATGAGGGAAAAATGCTATTAAAGTTACCAGTGCCCAAACTTTGAGTAGTATCTAAAATGCCTGTGTGTGGCTTCCTGTTCTGCTCTTCATGTTGGCTTGGGAACATGCTCCTCTAGAGTACGTTAACTATGATGGGGATGAGGATTTGAGTTTGTCAGTCTCTGAAAATAAAATAAAATTTACATACCAACACCCGCCACACACACAGATATGTGCATGTGTGCATGCATACACCTGTGAACTGCACACATGTACCCACACAGGCATATGCACACCCCCCTACATGTACACACATACAGGCATATGCACACAGCCAACATGTGCACACACATGCACACACCTCCACATGTGCACACACACAGTCATCTTCAGGAAGAGCTAATAGAACCACAAGTCTCAGCTGGATGGCTCAGCCTCAGAGCGCTGGAATTCTTGATGAGATAGTTCCGTACAACACTTTATGTACACAAAATAAACCACAGGGCTTTTACATTCAGAGTGTTTCTCTTATCAAGATGTCTTTTAGGGCTGCAGCCTGGGCGCATCCCGAACAAGAGACCAGAAGGGACTTCCCACTGCAGACCTTAGTTCTATTCTCACCTCCACAAGACATTGTCCTCAAAGTCTCCATCATGGCATTTGCGAAGAGAGGACAGGAACCTGTGGCTTCTCCCTCCGAGTTTTCTTTGCCTAAAAACGAAGGGCTCTCCTCCCTGGCCAAGATGTGAAAGCTTGGGTCCAGCCACCACACACCTGCATCTCTGTCACTCAGCTGGGCCCCGCAGAGGTGCGCTGGTGGGCAGAGAGCTGGGGACAAGGCTGGCTCTGATGTGCAGGGACGCATGACCCCAGGGAGCATAGGTCGAGCCACCTTCTCATCCCGAATACAATAAACCTTCGCAGGAGAAGCTGGAAGAGTGTCCAGAGAAGGAAATCCCAACCACAGTGGTCCCCACTTCGGGAGACGGCTCGCGGCTCTCACCTGGTGCAGGCCCAGTGCGATGCTCAGCTCTCCAGGGAGAGAAGGGGGCGGATGATGGAGTAAAAGGAGGAGGAAACGGTGCAACCGTGATGTTAAAACTGAAAACGGGCTCTCCCTCATCACAGAAACAACATAAAAGTAGAAAGACAGTGTGGCTGTACCCACCTTGACAGCCTGACAACTTACCCCAGTGGGAGCCCTTGGGGCAGCGGCTCCAAGTAACACAACATTGGGTACTCAGTCCCAGCCCACCTGTGTGGGAGCGGTGGCCCCAGGGCTGTGGCTGCCTGGCCAGGGCTCTAGGACAGGGCCACTCTGCTGCAGAGAAGCAGTCTGCTCCCCCACCCCCAGCTCCCTGACTCAGCGGCCGGGGCCTGCCTACAGGCCAGAGGCAGCAGCAACGCTACCCACATGCAGGCGGGTCCGCCCGGTCTGGTCAAAGCAGAAGCGAGGGTTACTTCCAGGCTGGACAGCCATGGGTAGTCCCCATCATGGGCTACAGCACAAGAACGGGAGCCTATCCGGAGATCTGGGCCACGGCTTTCATTTGCTGTTTATCTGCTTGGCTTGTTATTTGGAATAAGGCCATAAAAAGACAAATTCTGCAGCTTTTCAAAAAAATTCTAAATTTTCTCTCAGAAAACTTAATCCTGGTGAGCACCAAGAGAACAGCAAGGCTCCCCTCTTGGTACCTCCTTTCCTAGATGAGAATTCAGATGCCAGGCAGAGCCGCAGGCATGAGGTAGTTACGTGCAGTTGGAAACTCGAGCCACCGAGGCACCACCGCTCAGCGATCCCCCAGCCACGGCTGTACCTACAGCTATGAGCCCCTCCACCTTGAATTCTCAGCCGTTGTCTGTGATGTGTGGGAGGAAGTTTCAGCCACAGCAACGGAAGCCCTGAAACGGACAGCACTCACTCAGGCTTAACCCCAGGGGAGGCTGGCTCGGAATCCTGCAGCCTAGGCACACAGGGCCCCAGAGAGTGGCCACCTGCTGCCCTGGGTGGCCCACCAGGTGGACAAGAGGCATTCAAAAGAGGCAAAGCCTTCAGGGAAGATTCAAATTAAAACCACAATGAGACACGCTACACATCTATCATGATGGCTAAAATTAAAACTAAAATACAGCAACCCCAGCAAACGTAAACAAGGATACAGAGGAATTTAATCATTCTTACATTGCAAGTGAGAATATAAAACCAGACAGCCACAGTTTGTTAGTTTCTTGCAAAACTAGACATGTAATTATCACATAACCCAGCATTTGTACCCCTGGGCATAGATGCCAGAGAAATGAAGAGTTACATTCACACAAAAAACTATATATAAATGCTCATAGCAGCTTTACTTATAACAGCCCCAAACTGGAAAGAGCTCAGATACCCTTCAACAGGAAAATGGATAACCTCTCCGTGGGGCATACACGCCATGGAGCTCCACTCAGCAGCGAAAAGGAGCGAACCGCTGTGGTGCACACAGCCTACATGGTATCGACAGGGAACTGGGCAGAGTGAAAAACGCCAATCCCAAAACATTACACACTGCGTCACTCCATTTATATGCCATTGTTGCAAAATTCTAGAAGTGGAAAACAAACTAATGGTTGTTCTGGTTTAGGCAAGGGAGAGGTGGGGGGAAGAGGGACACTTTCCTTCCATGACGCAGTGTTCAGCCTCTTGACAGAGGCGGTGGACTCAAGAACGATGCCATGTACCAGCACACCTGGGAAAATCTGAACAGAGTCCATGAATTGTATCGATACCAAGTCCCTGGTTGAGGTGCGGTGCTACAGTTTTGCAAAACGTGTCACGTTTTGGCACCTGGATAAAGTGTACACAAGATCACTCTGCGTATTTTCTTATCACCGCACTGCCTATGAATCTACAACTGTCAACATAAAAACCACAATAAGAAAGAAGGAAAAAAGACGTCCAAAGGAATTTCTTCTAGAAATCACATGTGAATGAGAACCCTATGATCACTGTCGGCATTTACAAAAATTATTAAACCCACATGCTGGAAAATTAACCAACAGCCCTTATAGGGAGATGGTAAACAAGGCACATGTTTAGTATTTAATAAGGGTAAAAAAAATGCCCATGACTTTTTAAAACTGAAGTACGTGAAATGCAAACACCTTTCAGAAACCTAGCACGGAGCTGAGGATCGCTCTGGTTAATAAACACACGTGGTTAAAACTGGATGGCACATTGATGGCAAACACTTCCTCCCTGCCCCTGACAGAGGCCAAGGGTGACTCTGGTTCTGTTCTGTCTTTCTCCAGAGGGCACAGCTCAAGTTCGTAGTGCCAGTGCCTGTGTGGGCATAAGGAAATCACCCAATCTCCACATCTATTTCCCCAAATAACTATGCATCGCAGAAGGGGGAGGGCGAGCTCTCTGCAGGAGGGCCCGTGGTCTCCAGGCAACACCTCGGCTCCCAGCACACGTGACTCCGGCACCCCGTGAAAGCCAGGAGCTCCCCGCCCTGGACTTACTTATTCTGCACCATGTTCATTATCACCCAGTCGAAAGGGTAGACATTCTTCCCGATGAGGTTCTTAAACATGATGAATGTTTCCATCAGGAAGTCCTGAAATAAAAAATAGAACATTGAAACAGCCCACCAAGAAAAAAGGTGAAAACCTGAATAATGACATTATAAATGACCTCATTTTTTGGTAGCTGAATGAAGACCAAAATTTTGGTCCGTTGCTCATCAGACATTCTAAAAAGTAATGAAGATGAACTTGGCAGGATCTGTGCGTCGCCTCTTTCTGTTTGCTAGCGCCCCTCCGGTCTGTGGTCATTTTTACAAGGATATATTTGGAAATAGTCCCTGGGCATGTCTCGCTCACAGTCATAAAGAGCAAAGCCTCAAAAGGCTACAAATATGCCTTCATACTCTTTCTGCTTAGAGGGAAATATGTTTTCACAAATACGGTGTTGGGCAGGTTGTAGCTGGTGCTTCTATTTACTTTGAATCCACTTTGCGTTAGGAATGGGGCCCATCGGGTTGAATATGGGGTATTATTGTCCATTCCTTTCCCTGATATAGTTTAACCAAAAAAAAAAAGGCTCAAAGGGGACTTCTGACCATCTGCACCTTTTTGTTTAGATGCTTAAACCATCTGGGCACATGGTCACATCGTCAGACTCTTTTATATGGCAGCTACAACCCCATAAGCCACTTGGCTATGATTCTGCTGCCGCAGGGATAATCCTCGGCACATCCTGGGTCGCACCTGGCTGCCCACCCGCTTCCACACTGATAAGGCTGCTCCTGGCATTGGGAGGGCGTCCCCACGTCCCAGGGGCTCTACCCCTGGGCACGTCTGAATTAGAATTTTTGCAACCCAAAGACCTGGCATTTGTTCTGATCTAAGTGGAACAGCGCAAGTGGCTCTCCTGTGCAGCGCACAACCCAGGTAGACAGCGTGCTCCCTCAAGATCAGGGGTGCATAAGGGAAAGGCAACTGAGAGTACACTTAGAAAAATGAGGCCATGGTCAGAGATTGCCAAATGAGTGGATATTTCTCATTTATTTAATCTACTGAATCATAATTAGGTGCAATGGCTGTGAAGACCAAGGTGCTGAACAGAATTTAAGCAGCCAGGAAAGTAATTCCCAGTTCAAAGTTCTAAACAAGTACTTCTTGCAAAAAGGCACGAGTTAAGCTCGACAGTAGAAATAAGCTGATGATCAAGGTTGAGACAAAACTTCTGCAACCTTCATAGCAATGCCAGGTTTCCAGAAGTCATGTCTGCTGTGTGAGGGCTTTGGCTTGCCTCCTACCATGAATAAAAACGGGGACAACCAAGATCAGCCTTGCAGAGCACCACAACAGAGGCCTCCAGTCCAGAAGACTGGGCAAAGCTGGGAGGGGACAGTCAGCCCCGTGGCCTCCAAAGTCAGCTCACACAGGTTCTGGCCACCAGGCCCTATGAGCAGGAGGTTCCAGATGCCCCGATGCAGTGAGTGGTGTCTCTCCCCGCTTATTATTGAAATTCATATTTCACAACTTGAGCTTCCCCACTTTGTCAAGAGTTGCACATGCACATGAGCAGGTTGCATGTTTTGTCGGCTGAGTGCTGTAATTCAGTCACATCTCTGTTTGCATGAAATTGCTGGCATTCTTGCTGATGGCTCCTCAAAGCCTAATAATTGAGATACAGGGTCTGGTTTTTATTATTCTGGAAGAGAAGCATATTTTCCCAACTCCGTTTTTTTTTTCCTAGGAAACACAGTAGCAGGCTTCATTAGTATGGCTCAGCTGCTAAATTTTGGTACTTTGCTGATCAGACAAAATGCTGGGTATTGTGGGAGATGAGGTTCTGCAGGGCTTTCATGTCGGTCTGCATAATTCACCAGCCATGGCAGAGCCCCCCCTCCACTGCATTTGCCTAGAATGGCTGAGGCTTAAAAGGCCCTCTCCATGGCATCTCCATGGCATCAAGAGGAGCTAGCGGATTAATACGGGGTATTTTGTGAAAACCGCATCATCCTAGACCAATCCATTCCCGCTGTGCTTCTTAGTTTGATTTTTCACAGGACGCCCCATACAGTAAGTGGGCAGCTCTAACAGTAGCCATCAACGTACTCCCTAGACAAAATTTTCCTGCCATAAATCCTTCTGCTCCCGTCCATGCCCATCCCACCCACCTGAATAAAGTCATCCTTCCACATCCACCCTTTCTGCTGAGGGGAATCAGAAGCCATCGACCTCTGGCCACTCTTGACCCTCTTGGTCCCTACACATCACCTAGAGTGACCCTTTCAATTTGCAGATCTTGTTGAGGCACCAACACTTCCCTATGTCCCACTTAACCCACACCTCCAGCGGCCTCCCAATGTTCTTAGGCTAAAGCTAAAGCATTCTGACCATCAGGACTGGGAAATCACCATTCTGCTGTGCCAAAGAAATAAGGGTTTCAGACGAGGACCACCAGTAAATGTTAAACTCAGCAGATGAAAGATTGCTGGAGAATGCAAATGCCAATCTCTGGGGATGCCAAAGTACCACCCCAAAATTACATGATAATTGCAAAGAATTGCAGAGGACTATGCATGTTCACAGTCGTGAGCTCTGGCAGATACTCTTTCAAACAAGTGCCCCAAACTCAGTATCATCAGCCGGGGTCAGCCTGGCACTCCTGGCCTCCCATGGGCTGCAGGAGGGAGTGTGTCCCACCAGCTCTGAAGTGCTCTGGCCAAAGGGTGGCCTGGAAATTTAGACCGAACCTCCTGTTTACGGGACACATGGAGGGATGGAGAAACAAATGGAAAGGCATTACAAGCTGGCACTCAGATACCCAAAATGGGGGAAAGTCTGCCAAGTTACTGGCTTGGACTTGTCAAAACAAGAAACACAAAAAAGCCATGCCATGGGAAAAGAAAAAAAGCATGAACTGAGGAAAAATGTGGATGTAGATGGAATGAGGGGATGGCTGCTATGTTCTGGAAGGGCGATGAGACCCCTGGAGAAGGTCCTCACTCTTGAGAGATGTTTGCTGAACCACTTATGGGAGAAACATGTTTCTCACATACTTACAGGATTCAGCCACATAGACAGACACACAGACACACACAGAGGAGGGAAACGCGGCGAACTGCTCATGGCTGGTGAATTCGGTGGTGAGAGAATAGTTTTCGTTGCACTATTCTTTCAGCTTGTTTCTATTGTTGCAGTTTTTCATGACAAACAGGGAGAAGATTACAATTAACCCTGGAGGAATCCGCAGGAGATAAGGGACTGTATCAGTGCGGCCATTCTGGCATTGCTGTTGGACCACAGTTTTTCAAGATGTTCCTACTGAAAGTAACTGGGTACAGCATACAGGGACCTCTATGTTTTACATTTTTACAGCTGCATGTGACTCTACATTTATATCAAAATAAAAAGTTTACTCAAAAAATAAATGAATGTTTGAAAAATCATTTTAAAACGATTAGGGGAAAAACACAACTAAATGATGTGGGAAGTGGAACATACGAGCCAGCACACAGAGCTTCCTAGCGCAGCCTGCGGGGCCCAGTGTGGTGTGGCAGGGCAGTCCCGCCCGAGCTCATCTCGCCCCAGCGCCCTGGCTGCCCCCCAGCAGAGGCTCCGGCACACGCCGTCCCGCCTGGTGGCTCTCGCTCCTGGTCCTCGATATCCCATAGTCCTCTCCTTGGCAAAGAAACTTCCTGACCGCCTGACTCAGTCCCAGGTGGCTGCCTCACGGGGACCGTTCCTCTACAGCACAAATACTTTGGGTTGGTTGGGGAGACCCCCTGATTAGCTGTGATACTTTCTACTAGAAAGTAGGGCCAGGAGAGCAGGGCCTGACTGCTTGGACCACCGCTGCATCCTGCACTGCACTAACACAATGTGGGTGCTCAGTACGAGCTACTGAGTGAAGCACTGTGTGAGGGTGCTTCACCCAAGTCGTCACCCAGTGTAGAGCGCCTTCGGCAAAGCTTCGTTTACGAGGGAATGGTCACGAGGAATAAAGAAGCAGATGTTCAGTGCCAGGCCCCTCCCACTCAGAATGTGCTACACACAGGCTGGCGGACAGCCCCTGCTGCCTGTTTCACAGGGAACCCAAGGCTCTCTAGGACCAGGCGTGCCCACTGGCAGAACGTTCCAGAGCAAGGACAGCCAGCCGGTTCAGTCTGCTTCCACAAGTCCCACGAGCATCCTCCCTCACTGCTTCCCAGGTGTGAGATGCCACCTGGACCCCCCCCCAGTACAGGCTGATGGTCAGTGGGACAGACAAGGTGCGAAGGAAGGGGCAAAGGGCGTGCGCCCACCCGCCGAGGCCGAGGCAGCTGTCAGGTGGGGTTCCCAGAGAGCCTGGGCTGCAGCTGAATGAAGGCGGGAGGGCGTCTCAGATGGAGTGCCCTGACCGTGCAGAGGCCTGCAGGACTTGGCGACCCTAGGTAATCTACCAGTGGGCAGAACTGGGGGCGGCCTTGGGGAGCAGTGGGGCAGTTCCACAACATGTGGCCAGCCGGGAGTCCAAAATGGAGGGGAGGGGCTGGCCATGCTGGAGGTCAGCTGCCCCAACCTGCATCCTAAGCTCACTCACCCTTTAACCAAAGGCATGACTTCCACTGGCAGGGTGCTCTCTTAAGTCATGGCTCGCTCAGTCACTCAACAAATGCTTCCTAAGGGCCACTCCGTGGGCATTTGGGACAGACAGCGCTTTCTGCCGGAAGGCCCAGAGCACTCCCATCACCTTCCGTCTCACTATGGGGACTCCGGGCAAGTCCTCAATTTTGTGTTCCTGATTCTGAGACACGGGACACATGACAGCTCGCGCCATTCTGCCAACGAGCATCTCCGCTGCAGACGGAGAACAAGGGCCCTGCCAGGCTCAGCATCCCACGGCGACCGTCTCCATCGTGCGTTCTGAGTTGGACACATTCTATCTTTTTCTCTTCCAGATCAGTCTTTGGGCACCATGCTCTGCTCCAGCCTCTCACTGTCTTGGGGTCTAAGGGGATATCTGAGACACTGCAGAAAGAAGAGTTCTGGGGCATGGGATTTTGGTGTTGACAATAGTTGTGATTTCGTATGGGAATGACTGATCCAACCAGAAAAGGGCTGACTTTGAAAACCTGACATAGCACTTGGTAACAGGAGGTAGTCAGTAGAAAATGGCTGAGGCGATTTTCATACTCCGATACTAATTAACTTCCAATTATTTAACACAGAATGATCTTTTATTTTTGCGAGAGGTTGTCAGAGTAGAAAAACAGTCAAATCCCTTCTCTGTATAGTTAATGGATGGGAACACATTTAACAAAGGTTCTGACAGATTAACAGTAAAAATGGTTTACAATCCTTGCAGTATGAATTTGTGGTATCCAAACTGCAAATGCCATTTTATAACGGAAATCAAATTGTCTGCAAATAATTGATTTTCTGAACTGCTGCATCTAAGGAAAAAATCCCTTGGGAAATCAGGACCACAACATTTAGGAGGTATCTGATCATCTACTCCGTGCAAGGAGAGAGGGCACACACTTGGAATTCAGCAAATTACAGTCATTTTTAAACACCATGTTGTATGTATAACCCCTTTTCACAACACAGTGAAGCTTCCCCCATCAACCACACACTTCATAGACAATTTGCATGTGTGGATTTTAGCCAGGTGACTATTCTGATAAAGGAAAAACTGTTAATTGGAGTCCTAAGTTTTCAGGATGAATAATGTTCCTCATTCTTAAACTGTACTATTCTACCTGAAATGTTATCTAGGAATTTGTTCATATAGATTCAGTTACAACTATCCTTCTACTGACCAAAGCAGGGCTGAGGGGCTACATCTGACACTCAATGGTGGCCTGAAATGTTGCACATCACAAATTGGACTTCACTCTGCCATCCATGATTACCGAAGACTCACACCATGTAAATGTGAGATACAAAACAGACATGAGTACACCCTACTTTAAACAAAACTAAACACACAGACACACAAACACAGATGCCTTCTTGCTCCTTAACTTTTATTTAAGGAAAACTACTAAATTTAGGTATGGCTCTGTTTTTGTCTCTTTACAAATTTAAATATACAAACACACACATGTAGTAACAATGATTAAAAAAGAAATTTTTAGTTAGAAATCATCCTTTGCAAAGAATCCTTTGCAAAAGAATCATTAAATGCATTCTCTTCTTCCCATCTCTTAATAAGATGCAACCGTGCTACCAACGTTGCTAACCTTGTTTTGGAACAAACAGTAGCATCTGTTCTGCTCGATAGGAATCTAGAGGCCCGAAAAATGGGACCTGTGCTACCAGACACCAGTGTTCAGGTCAACATCTCATTGGGAGCTCTGCCAACCAGTTTGGTTACAGCTTTGCAAAGAGCATGTGCCATACGGCCACGTGACTTCAGGTTGTTAGGGAGGTAGCTCCTAAGCAATAAATTGCCCTCTATTATACCTCTCCTAATTAAGCTCTATCATACATAGTTTTACTGAGGACGACTAGAGAGTCGAGAAATGTTGATGAGCTTCCATGATTAGAGTTAATTAATAAGAGTACAATTTAAGGCTGGCAAAGCTCTCTGGCTTCTCTATTGGGAAGTTAATCAATAAACAGACAGGAGTTAATGGCAGCCTCTCCTTAGGAAAGCCCCTCCAGATTTCCAAGGATCCCCAAGCACCGGGAAAACTGTGGCCCAAGAAAAGAGATCTCTCAGGCCTTCCACCCTGCATCAAACTCCAGGGCAACATGGGAAACAAGTCAGTATCAGGGCCCTTAGCTTCTTAGAACCCGGCTTCAGACCTTTCCAAGTAGCTTCTAAAATCAACTAGAGGCAAGTTCTAGGCAAAATCATACTGAAAATAGAAATATTTATACAGGTGTTTTGCCTAACATATTGGCCCCAAAACACAGTGGATGCAGACAGTCAAAGTCACACTCACCACAACATCAGTCCTCATTTTCCCAAAAGTCTTGATCAAATGAGCATAATGATAATCTTCCATTTGTCGTAAAATCGCTGTCATACAAGCCACGAAGTTCCCCTGTAAATGAATCAAAAGCTACAATTAGATGGGGAGAGATCACCATTTGAGGAAAGTTGACATCAACCAAAAATCTGGAATCGCAACTGGTCAGGGAGGAGCAATGGGGCCTGGGCAGGAGGTGCCCAGCTCTGGACCCATTGCTTCCTGGCAGTACTGGGTCCCCAGTCACTTCCAACCTCACTATCCTTATTTCTTTATTCATCTATTTGTACTATATTTCCTTCTCTCTAACTGCATTAAATGCTTTCTGAATACATGGTTGTTTGGGCTGGAAAAATAAACTTTAAATATTTTTGCACTAACTATGCAAAAATTAAAGGCAAGATTTAAGCCACCGTCACTTAGGCTTTGTGCTCTCTAGAAAGCTGCTGCCCTATTACCAGACCAAATGTGTATGCAGCCCCGCCCTACTCCAGGGCCATGGCAAAGAGCCTTTCATTTCTCAACACCTGCCTGTATCCCCCTTGGCCAATTTGGAGGCAATCACCACTGACTCCACAGTGAGCCATGGTCCCACCTCCCCCAGGGTGAGGAGCAATGCAGGCTCACCAGAATGGAAAGTGGGAGAGGGGGTTTGTCAGCACACAGAGCTGGGAAGAAAGGCACAAGCAAACCAGCAGACAATGAAGACATGCAGAGAGGAAAGGGCCCAAGCAGTTAGCAAACGCCTGCAACCAACACACATGTGCCTGGCGGTGGGCATGCGTTTGTGTGTGCAGGCCTGTGCACATGTGCTCGTGTCCACACACAAAAGGGGATATGGTTTGATTGATGGGCAGCAGCTAGCTCGCTCTGTTGCCATTGACTGCAACCGATCACTTCTGGGTTTCATGCATGACAGCATCTTAAAAGCCTTCCTTGCTTTTAAATGTTTTCGCTAAATTAATGACATTTTAAGACACATAGGACATTTATTTTCTCCCATTAAACCCGTGCAAGTCTGGTAAAATCAGAGGATGAGACATACTTCCAGACAGGTCCTTAGTTTCGCCCTGCTAAATGAGGTCCCAAATTGCATTCTTTATTAACTCTACTTTTACGAGCAATGTATTTGAATACCTAAATGTCTTCTGTATTAATTTGAAATTAACGCATGGTCTATGGTGAAATGCAGAAGTTAAGTATTTTTTCCAATCCATTATATATCTATAGTATACATACATGTTCCCAAAAGAGTCCTCACAGGATGCATTGTGTAAATTGAACAAATACAATAATAATACGGTATCTTTCATTTGCCCAGAAATGTAAATTATTTGTGAATGATGATAATTGCTGAGATTTAGATTCCAAGTTACTGTTCAGGGAAAAGAGCTAAATAATGCTTATTTTCCATTGGAGGAATGATTTATAAAAAGGCAAAATGTCTATTTATGAATAGGAACTTTTGAAATCACTAAGTATTTGTCATTCCATTGAGTTCAATCCAGAGAAACCACCTTTGCACCTTCTTCACTCTTCATGAGATACCACCTTTTAGATAATGGTCTTCGTAATGTGACGTGTTGATCGATTACAATGTCAAGCCTGAGCTAAGGCCATTAGACCTACGGCTCCATTCAATCACACCAACAGATTCCCTTCTTGACCCATCTTACAGGCAGTGAAACTGAGGCTGAGAGCTGTTCCCCTCTGAATGAGTAAATGGCAAAACAGAGTGAGCCCAGCCCTGCCGGCCACTCACACCTGAGCTGATTTCTGTTATACCGATGCACATTTTCATTCTTTCTTCTGAGCTTTCTGAGGCTGCTTCTGACGGGCAGTGTGAGGTGGAGATTCACTTTCCTGCCCTCCTGCAGTCATCAGAGAAAGCTGGAGAGGGTGAGGAAAGGTAAAGGCTGCCACAGACGGTGCCCCACTTCCTGCCCTAACAGCTACCTGTGACCTGATGTGTCCACAGTAGACTGGGTACTTTTCCAGAGCAAGAAGAGGCCTACATTGACCAAGGTGTGCCTCGCAGGGTTCAAACTAATTTCCTGCAGGGCAAAAGGGTTCACCAATCGGGACTCACACACTAAATTCATTGAAATCACAAAGCCAGTTATACATAATGAGAAGCAATACACCTATTGTGCTTGACTTAAAACACCAAGTTAGAAGCAGAAAGGCAAGACCCCAGAGCAGCGTCAAGCACACCAAGGGCAAGAGAACTGAGTAACGTTATGAGAGACGCCACTGCATCAGGAGTCCAGCCAGATACTGAACAGGTGATGCAGACATAGTCAATTTAGGAAGCAGGCTGCCATGTAATGCTGAAAAATTCATGCTGGGCAAAGGCTGGGGGAGCCGACATAATACAGAAAATGAAAAACTGCAGAGAATGTAGCAAATGTCCAAAAAGCAGGTCCTGGGAGGGTACACATGGCCACTGGGAAGTCTTCTCTTTGGATGAAAGCGCCACAGAGAAGGCAACTGAATGCTACCTTCTTTACCAGCCAGAGGTTCTAACTGGAGTAGGCCCGGGTAAGGGGACAGAGGCTGAACATCACCAAGGGTTAGAGGTCAAAGGTCAGCAGGTACAAATGCTCTTTACTTAACCTCGGGAAATGTTCAGAAGTAACATGGATGTGCACTGTTCAGTCTTTCCTAGAGGAAGCAAATCTTGCTAGTTCAACTTTTTTCCAAGCTGAAGCTATGAACCCACTAGGAACGTGGTGATACACAGGAACGCACCCCCTTGCCTTAGGAACGGAGCCCCACCCACAGGGTGCCGGTTTTTCTCAAGGGAAGCACTGTGGTTCCGTGAAGTTCTCCCGCTGCTGTGACCCCAGAAGCACCCTGCATTGTGGGCGGGTGGGCAAAGAGGGTATTTATGGGAACTGTTTTCGCAACCAGTCACAAACTGGAAACAGAAATGGGGAGAACTGTAAACAGAAGCTTTTATTCTGCAGGCTCAGAAGAAAATTACTCTTCTATGCTTTTTAATTGATTTATTTGAAACACATTTCAAAGTCATGTGAAGCTTTTCCTTCTCAACAATGGGCAATCTGGCAGGTAGTCTGGGGGTGACTGTGCACAACTCCTCCTGGAACCTGGCATGGGGACCGGTTTCAGCCCCAGTGACTGAGTAAAACTGAGTAAAAAATTAAAAGAAGATATATTCCTTATGCAAAATAGGGACAGAGAAGTTAGGATACAATTGCTGAACATGTAAAAGCCAGGCAATAGAATGCCTAATGAACAAAAAATGTGAACTTCATTAGTAATCAAAGATGAAAATGATACATCATTACCTGCCTGCCAAAAGAGCAAAGAAGTATTTGCGTGACGATAATGTTGGCACGGGCGCCGAGGATGGGCACTCTTCCACGCTGCTGGTGGCAGCGTGAATGGCTATAACCTTTTTAAAAAGCGATTTGGCAATTGGTTTGAAGAGTCTAGGAAAAAAAATACTCATCTCCTCAGTAATTCTACTTCTAACAATCCTCCCAAGGAAGTAATTCAAAATAGGAAATTTTTATGCCTAAAGATGCCTGCAGCATCACTAAAAACTTTAACATCAAGAAGCCACCTAAGTGATATGAATTTTGTAGGGCAGCGAGATAAAATGTAGGATGGCCACTTCTGTTCAAATTTCAGATCAACAACGAAAAACAAGTATGTCCCAAATTTTGCATTGGAAATACTGCATGGGATGTCCACATACTAGGAAAATTATTTACTGTTTATCTGAAGGTCAATAGAAGTGGGTATCCTGTGTTTTCACTTGCTACATCAGGCAACCACACCGTAGCACTGCTGTGAAATATTACACAATCATTAAAATATTAAATATTCACTAAGGAAAATGACATATTTTAATAACATTCTCGAAAGAGCTTGAAGAACTAAAGTGGAGATAATTACATATACATATTCCAGCAATAGAAAGAATATAGCATAAAAAAGAAAAACAAGAAAAAGGAAAAACAAAACAAAACACTAGTCTCAGGGGTGGGAAAATAAGCCCAGATTCCTTTTATAAACATAAATATATTACTATTTTAAAAGGTAGTGCTGAGAAAAGCAGATCTCTTCTGGCAGCAGGGACCAGCTCCCCCAGGCCGTGAGTCCCCTTGTCACTGAAGAGCACATGCACAGGGTCCCCCCGTCCACGTGGACTTGGTCACTGCTTTGCACAGCTCCTGAAGCCTGGTTGCAACTCACCTCTGAAACGTCCTAAACTACCCTCTGTGTGTCCCAGGTTTAATCTGTGCCCCCCCAAATGTACTAGGCAGGTGGACAATAGAACAGAGAACAGGCAGAGTGGAAGACAGGCAGGCAGAACAGGGGACAGGCAGGATGGAGCCGGTGTGGCAGGGCAGGGGACACTCTGTAGCAGGTAAGTGAATGAATGTAAGATGCCACTGCAGGATAGAGACAAAAGATTTTAAAAAGGACAGATTTTGGAGATAGGAGATTTAGGATGAGCCCCACCTTCTTAACAGTATCCTCATCAGCTTTGCTGGTTTAAGGTCTAAGACTGAGTACATAGATGAGAAGGAAAAATCCCAAGGATGTTAATTCACACAGAGTTGTGAAGGCGTGCCTCATTCCCACAATAAAGATGGACGTGGCCATGTGACTTGAAGGCAGGGTATGAGATTACTCTTGGTAATTTCGTCAACCAGATACGCATGTATCACAGACCCTGGAGCTCACCTACAAGGAATACGTATCTTCTGTCTGGCAAATACGCAGAGGCAGAAAATTCAACTGTCTTCTAAATGTTCTAAATGCTAAGCGATGTGGGACAACTCCAAACCACACAGACAGTCAGAGCTCTAATAGTGGCCTAGGAGCACCAAATCTGGGGGGCAGGCACCAGGTCTGAATGACAGGAGCGTTCAATTATGGAATCTGGGATTATCCTTCATGACTGCCAGTGATGACTTGTTGAAAAGCTTAAGCCTCTTTTCACCGAGGCAAGTACTTTGAAGAGGAACTCTCATTTACATGTTTAAATTTCATATACATCAAAGAAAACAAATCTGCCTCATAGTCATCACTAAAACTAA